TAGTTTAAAAAAAAAAAAAAAAGGAAAAAGAAAAGAAACTCCCTTCTCCCCACTGATACCTAAATACTGTCCAAAGTTCTGGAAGTAACTGCTACCACTATGTAAAAATGACAGCATTGGTAGAAACACATGATCTCAACTGAGAAAATTCAATATGATCTCTAACCATGGGGCTCAAGAGAGCTGCTCCGGATGGAAATAAGCTGCTTCTGATAAATTTAAGTAGGGAGAGGAAAAGAAGTGCAGAGGAGTTTCTCTGGTAAATGTGTAGCATCCGGGCCTTCCTTATCTTCCTTTGAGGTTTACGTTGGTGTCTGTTCAAAGATGCTTTAACATGTGCCCTTATCAGCGTGATACAGAGACCTCCCAAATCAGTCAACTGGCTGCAAAGTGAGAACAGGTAGATGAACACAGTGTTGCAGTTTGGTGCTTAGTCACTTGATTTTTTTTTTTATGTTTTGTGACTGTTAAAATGACCCTGTATTGCACTGTCCTGATGTTCTATATTATGTACTATAGAAATAGCATAGAAGTTGAAAAAAGCAAAGCTATGTGTAAGTCAGCTCGAGAGTTGTGTTTGTCATACTCAAGTGTGGCTCTGCTCCACTGTCAACATGAACTTAGTTCTTTTACCCAATAAGGTTTTAGTCCTGTTGGAGCAAAAACATCAAAGCCAACCTTTTATCATTCACCATCTCTATGAAAACCTTCGTTACTTCAAGTCTGCTCACTGGGTTTTTCACAACAGGATTTTTCCGTCCATCAAAGTAGAGTTAATGCTCAGACACTGCAAACATCAACAGACACTGAGACATCTTTTCCAGTGCTCACCTATCTTGGTTTCATCATCCAAACAGATCAAGTGAACAAATGATACAGGTTCTTCCCTTACAGTCAATGACAGAGGATGCTCTATTTAAAGCACCAAATTAGAATGCAAGAGCCAGTACCAGATACTGTAAAAAATATTTTGAGCAGCCCAGACCAGTAAGCCTGTCAATGCCATTTACCCTTTCAGCAAAGCACTTATGTCTGTCTACTTAAATGTTTTGTTGGAAGAAGCTCAGAGAAAACAAATTTATATGCTCTCCTGAGCACAAGTCAGTCCAAATTACAGGTAATGGTAACATACTATTTATTATACTAAAAGAAGTTGGCAAGGCAAAAAAGCCTTTCCTTTAACCAAAAGATGACTATGACTTAGATACAACATGCAGTGACAACCTGTCCTAGACTATATCCCAGCCTACAGCTCTTACACACGTGGCAAACACACCCCTGCCATTGAACACCACCACCATCAGGGTTTCCAACAAATGCTGTACGAGGTTTCACAGGTCACAGGGAACACAGAGGGGACAACATGTCTCTCTGAACGAGTTAACCTAGGCAAGAAGCAGCTCTCTGAAGCCTGAAGCAAACAATAAAAACACCAGCAAATATCAGGGTTCTCAGTGTCACTTGCTTTGCTTTTTCAGGAATCTTTTCAGTCAGTTATTGTGGGAACCCACATGCTTCTGTATTTCCTTGCTTAGCCAACCAAACAGAAATAAAATCTATTCCCTTCTGCCTTGTAAGAGACTCCTGTCATTTTTATTATGATTCTCCAACAGTACTTCTGAAAAATTCAAGTATACAAACTTTCAATAAGAAAACTTTACAAATATATATATTACAGTAAGAGAGCGCTTAAACTATAGATATTGGTTCAGTTTTCATTATTTATTTTCAGATATGAAAATACACCCTTTTTTTTTAATGACACTGTAGTGTAACCTACGTTAAATTGTCTCTCACACCCCTCATAACAATACAGCCAATCACATTTAAGAAAAAAAACAACAACCTAACAGCTGGTATTTTTTAGAAAACCTTTTAGGAGGGCACAAAACGAAAAGTTTGAGTCCAGTCGTTTTGCCATGATTTTAGTCCTCAGAGATCATGCTTTAACCATAAAGTTACACTGCAACAAAATGAAGGAGGTGAGAATGTTATTGAGTGGGAACAAAACAACACTAAACTTACCCCTCTGAAATTCCAGCCCCTGGTGGAAGGAAACAAGGAAAAATTGTTCTGTTGCTGTTGTTTCGGCCTGCAAGATGAGAAAAGACAAGTGTTTACCTTTTCGAATGCCCTGTTTTCTATATCAACAGCAGAATGACAATAGAGGGAGGAAAAAAAACCACAAACATGCTTCGAGCACCAAGACACCTCAGCTTTCCTTGGCTGTTCCTCTGACAGGTTTCTGTCTTAGGTGTAGTTGCAGGTTTTAATTCAGACTGAGCACTAAAGGACATGGCAGCCTTACAAGCCTTCAGAGCCGCACTGACTTGGTGACTGTCAACAGCTTGTTACTCCCACTGATTTTCCACAAGGAGAGACAACCCTGACCCAAACAAGCTGTGAAGATGCAATTATGCCACGTGGTGCAGGCTAGTGCAGGCTGCAGCAGCACTGGATGGGGACACAGAGAGCCTTTCATCCTGCTAGTGAAGCCACGCGAAGCACCAGCACAGAGCACGTCAGCCACGCTCTGGTGTGACACTAAAAACTTGAAGCCAACTTCTGTTTTTACTCCTTCCAAAAAAGAAAAAAAAAAGATAAATCTCTCACCTACTCTATAATTATCACTGTACAATTTTTTCCTGAAAAGGAACCATAACATTGTCCACTTCACTCTTAATGAGTGCTTTTCACCAAAAGGATCCTAAATTACTTCACAAAGGCAGGCAAACATTGCTGAGCTTTTACACATGAAGTCAGATCAAAGCTCCACTGACCTGCTGGAGCTGACCAGACCAACAAAGAGTTTGGCAGCAGGACCTGAGTGCTGAGCACACTGCAATTATACACCTTACAGAAGCTACCACAAATAATAACAGGGCTACAAAAACTTAGTTAAAACCCAGCAAATTAAATGGCTGCTTTTCAAACCTCACCATCCAACAATAACAGGACAGATATTTTGCAGTTAAAGTGCTGAACTAACACATGAGCTGTTCCTGCTGCTAATAGTTCTTGAAGGACTCCAAAACACCATGCCCCACTTTCTTTTTTGTAGAGTCAGGATAACAACAGTTTTCACTGGTTTTCTTACTGTCTTCTTTATTTTCATGTAAAATATTTGGCATATAGACATTTTTCTCATTGTGTGCATTAAAACATATCATAGAACTGTGATCACAAAAGATGGGGGTTTTATGCCAGTATAATGCAAAAAGTAATATTATAATCATGATAATTAAATAATTTTTGAAACAAAAGACATTTCAACTTCAATATAGCAGGTGTTATGATATTTTAGACAACTTCCAAGGGAAATGAAGACTACATTAAAAATTATCTCTCCACAATCACTCTGTAATGAGAACTCAGAACTCTGTAATAAGCAATAAATTTGTTCAATAAACAATAAATTTCACAGAATATGCTGAGATGGAAGGGACCCACAAGGACCATCAAGTCCAACTCCTGGCCCTACACCTCAAGTAATAAAATATAGTTCTTCCAAAAGCAAGACCTGATTTACCATTTTCAATTTGGTCCTTCACTATCTTATTTTGATCTCTTGGGCTTCCCATCTGTCAACATCAGTGAGAACTGTACTGAAAAAGAAATAGAGTAATGCAGAATTTTTTCAAACCAAGAGAAAAAGAGGTGTCAAATTAACAGGCATTAACAGTGATGAGCAGATCTGACTTTTAGAGGCACTTCTAAGATAAATCACTCAGGCTTTTTCAAATGTCAAGGACAAGACAGGGATGGTCCCTCCAACTGCAAGCACTGTGATTAACGCTTGTGAAATGAAGCAAATAGATTATCAGAGACTCGATCACGGCGGAGAAAAGGCAGCACAATAACGTGTGGGGTAAAAGAGGAGTTCCCTCCCGACAATTATTGTAACAATAGTCTGAAAGCTGTAATTTGTAACACCTGACTTTGCTTACACAGGGATCTGTTTCAGCTAAAAGACTCCAAAGCACTTTCTCCTCAGTGCCGCAGTTTTAAGAATGAAAGACTGGAGGGTGGGGCTATAAAGGAACTGCGGGAGGGAGGGAGTGGGTCACCAAACCTGCCCCCTGAGCTTGGTTTGGGGATCGCTATGGAAAGTTTACCTTGGAAATAAAAGCCTGAAACCAAGTCCCTCCAGTGTGAGAGAAGTGCAAGCAGAGACCTGTCCCTTGGAAAGGCAGCCCGGGGGGATCCTCAGCATTCAGCCTGTCTTTGTTTGGGTGTGAAATTTCTCCTTCTCCTCATCAGCAGCAGTTTTAACTGTTTATCTTCCATTTGATCTTCAAGTTCCAGCCTTGAAATGGCATCTTCATGTCCCAGTAGCTCCGATGTAGCTCAGATCCCTTGAAACGTTTACCGGGAACGACCAAACTAGACTGACTTGCTCACCTGCTACTTTCCTAGTCTGATCCTGCTGTTCATAAGAATAATTTAGAATTTTACTGAACAAAAAACTTTGAACACTGCAGGAACTTTTCACACACTGGCGATATCCCCTGAACTGTGGCACTGGCTCTGACCAAGGTGCTTCTACTACTGTTTTGTAGCCAGGGGAGTAAAATGCTTCTGTCCTTAACATGTGCAGGGGGTTCCTTTTAGGTTCTCTCATGCACATATTGTGGATATATAATTAAAGTATCTGTTGGACAAACATATCCTTATTGAAATCTTTATTTAGGCACAATTGTTAGACACCAGATTAACCTGCCTCCCAGAATAAGTGAGTGGAGCCCTTTTGTGCAACATCTACTGCACTTTTGGGTAATTATATAATGACAATCGGTAAGTAGAAGTGTATAAAGGAATCTAAAAACAACAACCTGGACTGAATGCTTAAAAGTTTCTATTACATTTACTAACAAAAGTGTATTTTCTGCCTTGAAGCATGATGATAAGATAAATGAACAATTTATGGCAGTTTATATTCAACTCAAGTAACTTTTACATCTTCATCTGATCCTCCAGCCTATCTGCACACAGAATCACTGACTGCAAGGGGATTTTTTTAGATATGCATATCCAAGCTGTGTATGTTTTGTTTGAAATACTCAGCTGCTACATCCGTTTTCAGATAAAAGCACATTTCACAAATCTACATGAATGCTCACTCAGATAATAAAAGGAAAGCTCAGACCACTTAGAGACAAACTGTGCTAAGTAAAAATCGTTTTCAATCTGCAAAAATAAAAGTTGTTACTACAGCTGTGAACAGTTTACAAAGATACTGTTAAATAATAAATAGCACTTACTGTTCAGAACTGTTCTTTGTAATGTCATCTGCCTAACCTACCAAAATTGTACACTGAGATACAGTTCACAAAAGCACGTTTATTTTAATACACTGGGACAGCTGTGGTACTAAATTACACACAAGAAAACTATATTACAAGAAAACTAAATTACACATAAGGAAATGTCGAAGTGATTTATCTGGTGAAGCCTGAGAGTTAAGAGAATTTTAGCTCTGAACAAGAGTTTTGAAAATTGATTCTCTTAGATATTTTAAACTGCAGGCACAGTAACCCAAACACTGTGTGCATGTTTGGTTTGCCAAGGCCCCAGCCTGCAGAC